TTTCTCGGTGTCCAAAGACGGACAGGGTTAAATTTTCAACGTGTCTACCGAGGCTGCTCCACATTAGTCAATCTACTGAACACAGTCTAGACAGAATTCTATGCGACATATCTACAGATCATATAAGCACAAATTTTATCGTTTACATGAATTTTTTAAAATTCAAAAATTCAAATTAACCACCCCTATCTTCGTATCTAATCGATCAAAGGTATTTTTTAATCACATTTTCCATTTCGATTTCAATTTTCGAATCGATCCGCTTTTAATAACCATTTAATTAAACGAAACGAAGAAGAGAAACGAAGAAGTTTGTTTTTCTCGAATTAAAAATCTTAAATAAATCGAGCAAGACGCAGAGATCGATTAATCACGAGCGACTAACCCTTTGTTGCCGGTCGGACAACCCCTCCTTCAAGATCCATGGCCAAGTAGGATTCGAGTAAGTTAATCCGTCAATCGGTTCTGTTCATTCAGGGCGCGGATAAACATCCGAAATGAATTCCAAGGGTGGGTACCAGGACAAGGGGCGCGAGGGTGTGGGCAACTGCTAACCGGAGGGTTAAATTAAGAGGGGAAAGAAGGGAGCAGTTTCGAGCGATAGAAACCGAGAGAAACGAGAGTCGAACGCTCGTAATGCGACCAGCTTAAACTTGCGATGGGTCTCTGGGGTATGAAAGAAACATAGAATGTAAAAAAAAAAAAAAAAAAGAAAAAAAATAAAAGAGAGAGGATAGAGAGAGGGTTGGATTAGATCAGACTGACTGACTGACTCGAAACATTGAGACATTGATCAGACATTGGTAGATGATGCGTAGAATCCAATTTTGTTACAAAGATTCTGATAAGATTACTCGAAGAATATTAGAATAAATTCAAGCTACGTAAAGATATTATTCGACGAACTTCACGAAATTATAATAATTTTTCCCACACATTCATCGTTTCCACTAAGAGAAGAAATTATTCCAAAAACTTATCCAGACTTCCTTCCTCTCCTCAAAAAAAAGAAAAGAGAGAGAATAGAGAGAGGGTTGGATTAAATCGCTGACTGACTGACTCGAAACATTGAGAAGAACTGATCATTTACCAAACATTGATAGATGATACGTAGAATCCAATTTTGTTACAAAAATTCTGATAAGATTACTCGAAGAATATTAGAACAAATTCAATCGAAGTTACATAAAAATATTATTCGACTTCACGAAATTATAATATCGTTCTCATTAAGAAAAGAAACTACTTCAAAAACTTATCCAGACTCCCTCCTTCCCTCCCAAAAAAAGAAAAGAGAGAGAATAGAGAGAGACATCGTTGGATTAGGTCGTTGAATGACTGACTGACTGACTCGAAACATTGAGAAGAACTGATTAGACATTGGTGGTAGATGACACGTAGAATCCAATTTTATTACAAAGATTCTGATAAGATTACTCGAAGAATAT